TAATTTATCTAGCTAGTGTCATGGCTAAAGCGACTTGTTGATTGGGTGAGATTTATGCCCATGGCGGGTTCGCTGAATCACGGCCATCTCCAGATTTATATACTGGAGCTGGCCATTTATATACTGGAGCTGGCCGTGAACATCGATAATAAAGAGGGGAAAAATGCAACTGAAAAAAATATGGTTTGCCGAAACTCTAGTGAACCAAAGAGCATTGAAGAACTATGAAAAATGAAACTCCTACAAACAGTGAAAACCAGGGAAAGAAAACATTAATATTTTGAGAATAAAGCAATACTAAACACTTTTTATGCTCACCAACAATCGTACATTTAACTTTTATTCGTGTCTGTTTTTTCTTTTCTGGACGCAATGGTGCTCAACAGCGCCACCTTTTTGCGCATCATTTTCAAGTGCTACTGTAATAGATACTTTATGGTGAGTAAGGACAGGATTTTCTTCTTTTACAAAAGCCTTTCTTTTATTCCACATCATCATCAGGTCCCTTGCCGACTGACGTGGACGATCATGCCTCTCCACAATCTGCGATTTCCTGCAGCATGTATCAGTTTGTGTGCTGACACACCTCTATGTCATGCATCCCTCTGTCCACAGATCTTCCCAATGGTCACAAAATATTCAATTTCATAAGTTAGTTGCGTATCCTTTACAGGACGTTGCAGAACCAGCCCCAACAGTCCCTGGCTGTTGTGTGGTTTTTCTAGGCAGATTTACGTCCAGTAGTTTGCCATTGCCCTGGACGGTCGGCTTTCATGATACCACCATCGAAACCAACGCAAGGCGCATGACCCGCAGCTGGAGTCGAACCCGGCAATCCGGCATTACGAAGCGTTCAAAAGGTTCGTTTCGTATCCTTTACAGGACATTGGAGAACCAACCCCAGCAGCCTCTGGCTGTTGTGAGGTTTCTCTAGGCAGATTTACGTCTAGTAGTTTGCCATTGCTTACTGGACGGTCAGCCCCCTGATACCACTGTCGAAACCAGCGCAAGCCTCCTCTGATAACATGGCCGAAAAATGATACCGTCATTGTCTGTATGTGGTAAGTTGTCTTCAGGCTCCGGCCTCTTTCAAAACGTCTTGGTTGCTCTTTTTGACTGTCCAAGGTATTTTAAACATTCTTCCGTAAAACCACATCTCTGAGGCCTCAAGAAATTGTTTGGCCTACCTACCTACCGATTGTCCAGGACTCGTAGCCATATGTTTAAACTCGGTGTGTGTAGCAAGCAAGAATTTGTGTTCTAACCTTCAATGAAAGAGACATATTGCATAAGATGTTATTCCACATATTTAGAAACAACAAATTCTTTTGTCTTATTGATTTTGTATATACTACATGTGGTTATGTGGTGGCACAGAGGCTGGTATGCCTGCCTACTGGTTTTTATGTGTTAGTTTTAATCCCTATTCCATTGTGTTTGTGTTTGAGAGAAAGGGATCATAGTGTGCAAAAAGCTAAGAAAAGCATGTCTGATGACGCAACGTCGAAGTCGCCTACGTGCTAATAATAAATCCTGATTTCGAGAAAATCGCGTTTGAACACTGAGATCAGTTGAAAAATGTGCAGTTGCGGGTAATGTAATATGTACTTCGTTTTGACCTATTTGCAGTAGGAATACCCAGCCTGAAATGAGTACCAGGATGTATGCCCGGGAAAGTAAAGACAGCCACATTACCCACGTAGTGCCGATTGGTCTGTAAAAATATGGGTGCTCTTCTCATATGCCAGATGCGCCTAAAGGCGTGAATAATGATCTTTACTTTTTTAAATCTGTATCTTTATGAGAAGAGTCGAGTGTCTGCTCGGATAGTACCGAGAAGGTAAGAGGAAGAGAAAGATGTTATTGTTTGGATGGAGAGATTCCTACCACTGAAACTTCGGGAATCTGAATGATTTTTTAGAGGTCTCCCGCCCCCTGTACCCTTTCTTCTTTACCATGTCTATTTTCGCTACTTGAGTCTAGTTAAGGCTCATCAGGTTCAACTTTTACTAATACCCAATGAACTAACTTGGCCTGTGCCTTCTTCTCGGGATATTTCGGAAATTTGATTTCAGACAATGCTATTACGGCTTTTTGGGGTTGACACTTCTCTGCAAAATCATTGGCATCTATCCGCGGCGATGTCTCCAGAGAGGCAAACAAGGACATCGAGCGGTGTCGCGACTAATTTTGACTCATACAAGGTCGTATTCCAAACAAGGGTCGTATACTAACCAAAATAATTCCTGTCTAAACAGGACGTATACCAAGCTGAACCTTTACCAGATCGAACGTATATCGAAATAACACTGTATCAACAAACATATCATGTTGCTTGGGGCTGAAAGTGTAAATATAACAGTACCAAACACCCAGTTATTAATTGGTTGCAACATGCTTATAAATTGTTTACCGACTGCTTTCTGTGTGGTGGTTTATTACCTTAATTTCATAGTGTAATTAAAGCTAGAAGGCCGACTTCATAGAAAATAGTTTTATTACGTCTGGCTCAGTCTCATATGGCAGAGCGGCAGGTCGCCTGCCGAGGGCGTCTCATGCAGCACTAAACTCTTAGCTCCAACAACGACTCCAGAAGAGGTGGGGAGGGGAGGGGGGCGAATTGGAGTGCAGAGCGGGTGACCATTCACAATGGATGACACCCCCTCCCCTAACATTGCTGTTAACCGGTGTCTAAGTGGTAGTTTGTAAATTACTGGATGCAGTTTAGTGAAAGTAGGAGAGGAGTGGTTGAGGGAATGGTTGAGAACGATGGCTCATTCGGGAGACCCAGGTTCTGATCCTCGGTAGAGTGGGGACTTTAAAAAAAAAAAAAAATCTTTCAGGGGCAGAAATAAATTACTAACAAGATTTACTGTGCGTTTTTCTCCGGGTAGCTTTCTTTAGTTGCGCCATTTGCAGTGTTTTACGGCATAAATCGTGAATAGCTACAAGACCAGTCCTTACAACGGTGATGATATCTGCTCTCTCCATGCTTCTTCTCCCATGCTTTGGTGCATTGCTTGCCAGTTGGTCTGCTCGCTCATTACCCTTTATGCCAGTATGGCCAGGTGTGTAGATCCAGGTGAGGAAAGTTAAGTGGGATATTCGAATGCTTTTTACACATTCAGAGCGCATACCGTCTATTGCTATCTTTTGAAGCATGTTCATGAAGTCAGATACACTTACTGCCCGTTTGGCTGTTTTCCCTGCTGCCAATGTTAATGCTCTCTTGAAGCTGCGGCTATTAGCAGTATGATACAAGCCAGCTCCACCCGTAGTCTAAAACGTTTAAATGAAACTGTTGAATCTCGCTAGTCGTGAACAAGACAAGGCTTGGGGTGTGTTTGTTGAGGCCTTGTTCTCAGTAAGAAGACAAAAGGCAGAAGGAAAAAAGAATCACCCCGTCCTCTATTTCCCGCGACTATAGGAACCAACATCACGCCATTCAGGACATTCCCATAAGCACCCAATCTCCATCTTCAGCAGCCAGATAATTGTATTGAGCGAGAGCTTATGTTTTTAACCCCCCCCCCCCCCGACCATAAGTAATGGCGAGAGAGAGAGAGAGAGAGAGAGAGAGAGAGAGAGAGGGAGAGAGAGAGAGAGAGGGAGAGAGAGAGAGAGAGAGAGAGAGAGAGAGAGATGCGGAAAAGGGCGGGGTTCCCCAAGCCTTTAAGCGGCACCATAGCCAAGAATAGTTCACTTTTTAAAAAAGTATTTCTGTAAATATTTCCTATTAGTTTTAATATATTACTATAATTATTTGCCATTCACCTTCAGCACATTATTATTATTAATAATAACATTACAACCAGTTTTTTTTTGCACATAAAAAGGTGCCGGTACTCACCACAAAGCGTCTTTTTCATTAACGTTGGAAAAATGATGCCTTAATGTTGCGCACAGAAAAAATCTTGATTATTAAGCACTTAAAGAAGACCTAGACTCACTGACATCCCTCTTGACAGTCGCCTCTATCACATATATAACAGCAATTAAATTACTTCAAAATTACCCACTCACATTAGACTACAGGTTACCAAGTTTTGTGGTTCCTCAACTCTGCCATTTAGATGTACTCCCGGGTCGACCCAGCCGTGAGTGGGTACCAGGTGCATTCGTGGGAAGTATAGGTGGCCGGCGCAGTGCTGACTACATCATCCACCAAGTGCCGATTGGTCTATAAAATATAGGTCTAGCCCTATGTGCCCAATACGCCTAAAGGCGTTGAAAAGGGTCCTTTACTTTATTACTTATGTAGCTATATGATAAAGTGAGGTTTCCGGGATTTGTGTTTGTTTGATACTGCTTCTTGAAGTGTTAATCCTACAGTCCCACATAATCGCTGATATACTTTTCGTTCTGTGCTATATCCATCCAAACAGCTACACGTGCAATAACCCACCCACACTTGACTACAGGCCACTTCGTAACAGTTTTGTGGTGCCACAATATTTGTTACATTATGTTATTACTATCAACGTCACTGCACATTGGGCATTTCCATGCCTAGTCAGTCCTTCGATGCAGCAGCCACTCCAATGAACTTCTACGTATTGTTTTCATAAAATGTTGGTTATATTGTCTCCGGTCTTGACCACGAAGACTGCATAGCTCACCAAGCTCTAGAACAATTGTATTATATGGCAGTACGGTTGAACGGGATCTCCACGATTTGTAGATGTTTGACTCTCATGAGATGTTAATTCTGCAAAATACAAAATTAAAGGAAAAAAAAAGTAAGTGCAGATGAGTTTAGCTCACAGTTGATTAGTATTTCGAAACTGAACATGCCAGCTTAGAGTATTGTATTATAAAAATGTAATACGTATTATATTTTTCGTTGTTTAAGAAATCATCAATTAAAATTTCTTATCTCAAATAATTAATATTTTGCCCTAGCTTGACTAATTTTATGCCCCTCAGGTCCAGTGTTTGTAAACTGAGTTTAGAGTGCAGATGGCAACAATACCTGGCAAGATATTAAAACACCGTAGAAAATGGCAGACGGCGTAGACATCGATTTGTACGATAATATTGAAGATGAGTTTAGCCAGGTATGCAGTGCATTATTCATTATATATCCGCTGGAATAATCATTTCTCATTGCATTATTGATTAAAACCAGTTATAGCTTTCGGCAGAGTTTAATTTTGTATTACTCGGCATGACTGACGCGGTGTGCCCGGACCAACTTTGAATTTATTTTGAACGTCCCATCTTTGTTGTGTTACACCAAACAGTTCAAACACCAGTTCATCCTCCGCTGCCTGTCCCTTTTTGCCACCGAGTCACTGTTACAAATGTGGTGACAAAAAACTAGTTTAGTGAGCTTTCATCATTGAGATCTTTTGATAACATAGTAGTAGTAGCTAGCTGCGTCTGCAGATTTAATTAATTCTCTATTTTTTTAACATTGGAGGAATGAAAATTCCAAAAGTCGAAAACAAAAGCGAAGGTGCAAACAAAATAAAAAAATGTGTAATATTACTAATATAATGAATAATATACATATAAATTTCACACAGACATTGTCAATGTTGTTAGAGAGATAGAATGTCCTGAGGTTTTGGAAATGTGTCCACATCACTGCTGTTGAGAAAACAAGAATTGGGAGTATAGTTCAGCACAGCCATGTATGAGAAGCACACCAGACACACCCAAAGTCTTGTCAGCCAGCATAGGAGTGGCACTATTAACCAAACAACATTGATGAATATGTTGATGGGGAATCTTGGCACCTGGATGGATGTAAAGATAATCCAACTCAAAACTTATACATATAGTTTCAAGTTTTACAAACACCACATTAATCATTAATTGAATGATTAATTGAATCCTTATGTTCCTTTAAATACATGCATTTGATTTTCTGTTCTGATGTAATCTACAGGTAGAAAAAAAGGTAGAAATTGACCCCCCCCCCTCCCCCCCCCAAATTTAATTATGTATGTGATGGAATTGAACAGAATTATGACACTATACCCTTAAATTTTGTTTTAGCATGTTTGCACCCCTAGTATAGACTGAAAAAGTAGAACCTTGAGATTGATATTGGGGCAGACTGGGAAAGTGGACCCTTAGACTTAAGTTACAGGACAAATTAGTTCACTGGAAAACTACAATCCTGAGACGATCCACCTGGCTGGCTATTGCAGTCTAGGTAACTGGAATTTCGAGCTCCAGGCTAGTGCAGACTGAGACCTAGACACTGGAATCTTGAGATCCAGGCTATGAAGGAAGCTGGAGTCCTGAGATCCTTGCTAGGAAGGAAACTAGAATCTTGAGATCCAGGCTAGTAGTAGGGAAGCTAGATTCTTGAGGTCCAGGCTGATGGAAACTGGAATCTTGAGATTCATGCTAGGAGGGAAACTGGAATCTTGAGATCCAGGCAAGGGCGTGAACCTAGAATCTCGAGATTCTTCAAGTTAGAGCAGGCTCCTAATTTGGAATCTTCAGACAGAAAGGGTTGGCTTGTGGGGATTTGACTTGCAAGGTTTTTAATTTCTGAAGACCAGTGTCTTGTCATGAAAAAAACAACAAATACAAATTTACCTGTGCTGGCTCTTCTGAGTCAGTCTCGGGACACCAAGAACCTTGGTGTTGCCTGCAGCAACAGATGCTGGACAGTTTGACATTATGGCAGAGTTGATTAAAAGTATACAAGACAGAAGATTGTGGATAGACATGACTACCAGTGCCACATGGTATGGACTTTAAGAAGAAGAAGAAGCATTAGCCAGGCAGCTGTAAATACTTAGACAGAAAGACTCAAAACAATATGCCCTACCACCATAGAGGGTGGTTAAAAAAAAGGGGGATGGTACAATTGCAGATCCCGATAAGAATTTTAATGAGTACACAGGGCTGCAGTTGAGAGAGATGATTTCATGCAACCTTTGTCTTTTTTTTTTTTAGGATGCAGATTTTGGTGGAGGTGGAGACTTATATGATGATGTTATTGCAGCTTCATCATCACGATCCAATGCTGAGGTGGGTGTTATTTTGTAATTTCTGCATGTAATTAGTTAGTTATTTGCTGTGCTGACTTCACAAAAATGTGTCACCCCTTTTTTACCAGCTGAAAACTCTGTAAGGCCTGGTTGTTTGTCCATTTATGGACTTTTGTCCTGTTCCAGAACTTGAGTTTTGCGTGCACATCTTTTTTTGCAGATCTGGCTTATTTGTATGCGGATAGTTGGTTCTTTGCCTCTCAGGTACACACTCAAAATTTGAAGGAAACACTCCTAATGAGTTAACATTAACAACATGATTGGAAATGGGGGGGGGGGGGGGGGGGGGGGGCAGTGTGTCTGTTCTGTTTTCCTCCACAGTGTGGGGTGCTGGTATCCACAAGGGGAAAAATACAAAATAAATTCTTGAATCTTAAGAATGATTCCTGACACGAAGAATACTAAAAAATCTATGTTCAGTTTGCTTTCTTTTACTCTGTTTAAAAAACCTATTGTAATGTGTTGGGTCTATACAATGAGGTTGCAGGTGAAAAACAAAACAAAAAAGTTGGGAACCACTAGGCTGGTGGGAAGGAACTCAGATCTGCCTCAACTGAAGGTGAAGTTATATGGCTGCCCTCATTATAAGCTGGCTACTCATTTGTTTGGTGGTGGATTGGGCTTGAGATCTTCTTCTTCTGTTTTTGTGTATGTGTTCACCAGCTACTAAGAAAGAAAGCAGAGGCAAACTACTTTTTTTAAAATACCAAGAAAAAACATTATTTCACAAATCATGCAGCTTAAGAAGAAAAACACCCGGTAATGGAGATGTGGTTTTTGAGAAAAACAGAGAATATCAGGGAATGATAGAAAAACACATGTGGTAGTCCTCAGTGCAGAGGAAAACTAGACTAATTTGAGACGTTAGACTTGGACGGTCTGTGTTTGTGTGTGGACATGTTATGTGAGAATATGGACTCAATAACTTGGTGGCAACTAGCAAGATTGATAAGAGAAGAGCAAGGGGAAGGCACAGAGATATATACCTAGATAGCTTGGCCATATGGAAAAAGGGGGGGGGGGGGGGAGATAAGATGAGAGCACTGACCTGATTTGTGATTCTATAGTTTGTTCAACAATTCATAAACTCATCTGCAAGCCATTTTCTCAAAAACTGCCCGTTAGATCGCAGTGATTTTTTTCATGCAGCCTTCGAATATCCATGACATTTAGGAAATATTTTCTTTAACTAAAAAAAAATGTTGTATGTAGTTTTTTTTCTCTCTTCTCTACAATAAATATTTCTGTCATGAACCGTCTTGGTAAACTTTTGGAAAGTTTACTTTCATTAGTTTCAGAAAGTAGTTCATGCTATGATTTAAAAAAACAGGGGGTCAAAGAAAAAACCTACGTAATTTCATGATTTTCTCGTGTAAAGTCGCACTGTTCGTGACCTGAAGCCAATTTAAGACGTCGGTCAAGGTTGTTTAGTCAAATGCACATCCACAAATGAGTGTTAAGTTATTGTGTCATATAGCTAGCTTGTAAAAGCTGACATAGGCATCAATTTAAAAATGAATTTTTTCAAGCTAGGAAGGAAAAGGAAAGTTGACGTCTTTGAATTGATGTAGATGTCATTAGATATGAGATCTTAAAAATGTTAGACACAAATCAGCTTGTTAATTCTCTGATAACTGAAATTAACGTTGAAATCACAATGCAGTTTTGACATTTCAAAAAGTAGTCTGTGGAAAATTGTAAGAGCCACCGGGTTTACTTTCAGGAAAAGTGTAGGTGGAAGAAATATTGATTGTGAAAAGCCACATTAGATTGCTAGTCGAAGCAAATACCTGAGGCAGATCCGCGAGGCTATGATATTGTATATTCGGATGAATCCTGGGGTAATGCTCACCATACCTATGCTAAAGAATGGTAGGTTATCCTCCGAATAACGGGCACTAAAGATGGCGGCTGCAAAATATCCTGACGAGCCTCAGTCACGTGTCAATTGCGCCCTTGCGATCACGAGCAGATCGCGGGAAAACTAGGATTAGTGTCTGTTGACAATTTCAAGAAACGGAACAAACCGCAGAGTTGAACTCGCCCCCGAGAGTCTCCTCCGCGCTGCGCGTAGCGACCCGGGTGGGGCTAAACTAGATGGCTGGGATTCACTAGCAGCAGCTACCGCATCTCCTGCAGCGTTCTCATTTTATTTGTGGGAGGCTCTTGGCGGAGTGTTCGTCGGAAGGAAGTTGGCAATTTGCGCGTGAGTGACGCCCCGTTATGCTATATTTTTCGACGCCATAGCCACAAACAGCAGATTTTCGGGCACTATTTACAACTTCTGTGCCATAATTTCCAGATATAAAGGCATAAAATTATCGGTATGTAGTCGATTTGATATAACATTTTTTTTTTCCTTATTAGTTCTGAATTCAATTTTTGAATGTTTACAACACATGACACGTGACTGAGGCTCGTCTGGATATTTTGCTGCCACCATCTTTAGTGCCCGTTTTTCGGAGGATAGCCGAATGGTAATCAGTAAACAGTGAACAAACAGAAAAGAAACATTACAAGCAACAAAGGCCAGTGCATTATACTTACTTATGCAGGAAGCAGTGAAAAAGGCCTTATTCATGATGCTGGATTTATTTTCCAATCAAAAAGTACGGATGGTAGGGACTACCACACACTGACATGAATGGACACATTTTAGGCACTTGATAGAGAATGGTTTTCTTCTAATTTTATATAGACCAACATACCTAGTAATGAATAATGCCGCCTGTCATAATGCTGTATCAGAGGAAAACAAAGTGCCGACGACATCAAATGCAAAAGATCAAATTAGGACATTGCTTACTAAGGAGAAAGTCAACTTTGATGTCACTTATTTGAAGGCAGAGTTGTTGCAGCTTGTGAGGAAAACAAAAAAGACAAAGGTGTACCACATTGACAAAATCATTAATGAATACGGCCACACTTCTATGTGACTTCCTGCATATCATTCACAACTCAACCCACTAAAGCTTGTTTGGGCTAAAGTCAAAAGACAAGTTGCCGAAAAGAACAGTACATTTAAAAGGTGTAATATTGAAATTCTGACACGAGTCCCTCTCAAAAATAGACATTCATTTCTGGAAAAAGTGTGTTGAACATGTGCTCCAAGAGGAAGATGAGAATTGGCACTGAGATGGATTACAATTTGTTCAGCCAGTAACAATTATTAACTTTTTAGGATCGTCAAATTCGTAATGTTTAAACCAATTTTTTTTATGAGTGCTTGTATACCATCAGCTCGTTTAGTACATCTACAATTGCAACAAATACATCTCCATATCTAAATGTGTCAATCATAATACAATTTGCTGTGCAATTAAAATACACCCTGGGGTCTAATGGTGACCGAAGGTGAATACTAACTGTTACATATTAGGGACATGTTTGCAGTTAAACAAGGCAGACAGATTGGCTGGATCTGCACCACTGGGTGGTGAATTGATACATGACAAGGCAGATGTGGTCAAGGCCCTTTGGTAACAAGTAACAAAGTCAGAAGAAAAAAATAGATTATCATCTCCTGGAGAGAATGAGACACCTGGGTGTGACCAGAGGGCGTGGCCGGCACACAACACTCTGAGGAAAGGCAAGATGGACATATAATAGACTGTGTCTGGTACCATTAGTATTAGAACTCTGCACTGGCTGCTGAAGATGGGGACGGAGCGCATTTGGGAATGCCCCGAGTGCTGTGATGGCTTTCTTGACTGCTCAACTCAGGTCAGTGGAACATAGATGACAACAAATAAATTTACTTCACCTATCAATGTATTATGAAGAAAAACTGGAAATTCAAATGTTCAGATACTGTAAAATCTAAAAGTTCACTCTACTTATTTACAATGGTTCAAAAAGATTAAAGCAATTTGCTGATATTCAGCGTCCTGAGCATCTATGGACTAAAGAATACCACTATTTTTGCATCAGGGATATTCAGAGGCTGCATGCAAAAAATCTTTGTGAATCTAACAGGCAGTTTTGGGGAATATGGCTTGCGTGTGTGGTAGGAATCGTTGAACAAACTATAGTAATCGTCTGAACATGACAGACAGTCTACTTTTGTCAGCATCACACATGATAATTGCTATTTATTAGCCTTTTTTAAAATATTCTAATGACACCACAAACTGGTTTAATTTATGATTGCAGCCTATTGATAGATCATCAAGTGGCAAAATATTGTCGAGATCAAACAGCTCCTCTCTTTCCTCGCCTGTTTTATCTGCACACGGAGCTGGCAAGAAGCATATGCTGTACATTGGCAACCTCACCTGGGTAAGAGCTTATTTTTTTCTATTTAAATTAGAGTCGAGAGGATTGACTTAATTGCACTGAGTTTGATCTTTCCCTTCAGAATGCTTAGCCATCTGCTGAGAGCATCTGCAACAATGGCATCATAAACCTTACGGTGTAGACCATGATATGAACTCGTGGCCTGCAGGGTACGAGGTAAATGGCTCAACCACTATGCCACGCAGATTGTCTATTTAATTTTTTCAGTACCAAGCAGCATGTAATGCATTTCTGATTTCTGTTTACATAAAATTTTCTGAACTATCTTTGGTTCCTCCAGTGGTTACACTGACCCATCCTTTTCTTATTGTTACTTAAACTCCTCTTGTCTCATACTGATTAATTTGACTCCATAAGTTCCAAACATTTTAAAATTACAGTAACAGTTTGTTAATTGAGGTTCCGACTTCATTGCAGACGGGTTGTCCCATAATTGCTCCGTTTTGGTGCCAGTGGAAATCACACAAAATGTCTTTCACTGACCCATTTCAAAAATAGTGTAAAACTTGTCAGTCTCAGCAAAATCTTCAAGCTGGCACCTGGCACACAGAGTAAATGCTTAACCCTACCACACCTGAGGCCCTGAACCTAACTGTGTCACTTCAACTGGGAACGCATTTTTCATGATCGTATTCACAGTCTGAATTAACCAAAGTATCAATCACCTGTTGGACTGTGAAAATCCTAGACCTACGTCACTTTCTTGTCGAAGCCGCTCGTTTCATTGAGAACTTTCCGAATTTGTTTCACATCAAACCACGGTGAAAAGAAATCTCAACACACGTGAGAAGTCATTCGCAATGACCAACCACGAAGTCTGATGGCGATTGGCTGGTTATTTTTAGTATGTGGCGCATATTTTTCACGTACTATGCAAATTCCCGAAAAATGGGGCCAGCGGTATAGCGTCAGGTTAGAAAATTCCCCGAAAATGGGGCCAGCGGTATAGCGTCAGGTTAGAAAATTCCCGGAAAATGGGGCCAGCGGTCTGTTAGGGTTAAGGCAGTCATCAGAAGTGTCAGCTCTAACAGTCTGACATCAGAATTGCAGCTGACTGTTAATGCAGGCAGTCAGTAACAAAGTACATGTAATTGTGAATCCAGTCAGCCACCCGCCATTTTATGTGCAGACCGTGACCCAAGCGCAACAGAATTCCCCCCCCCCACACATTCCACATGACATTCACAGCACATATTGTTGCACCAAGCACTGAGCTCAATATTGGATGGCAGTATCTTTGGACTCCTGGTCCAAATGTAAAATCAGCAAATCCTGGTTCTTCTTAGACCCTTTTCAATGCCATCAGGGCATATAGGGCTAGACCTGTATTTTATAGACAGATTGGTACTTGATGATGTGGTCAGGATCATGCCTGCCACCTTCACTTCCCAGGACTTTAGCTGGTACCCACTCTAGGCTGTGTCGACCTGGGAGCCAAGATCATTTTTTTAAAAGTCCGGCTCCGCCGGGACCCGAACCCATGACCATCCAATCTGCAGGTGAGCGTCTAGCTGCTACACCTTGCTGGCTCCCAGATCCTGGTTAGAAACAACTTTTTGAAGCGTCAGTACCTCCTGCTGGTTATCTTCCATTTTAGAGCACATGTCTAGTAACATGTTAGAATAGCATAAGCCCAAGTTAGAGCGGTGATCCTAGTCACAGCTATGTGCCAAAGTAAAGGCTATTGTGATTTTTATGAGGAGATACTATGAACCTCATCTCGGGCACCAATTTAGTGTCTGGTAACCCTCTTTTCTTGTTTTGTCAGTGGACAACAGACCAAGACCTAGTAGATGCGATGAATTCTATCGGAGTGCATGATCTGGTTGACATCAAATTCTATGAGAATAGAGCCAATGGACAATCGAAAGGGTGAGTGCGTTGAATTACAAATAATTCCTAGGCTGGGTTGTGTGTAGCTTTTAAATTTTATAATTCTTTTTTTTGGTTTTTCTAGCTGTCAGTGGCTTTCTTTGTATTTTCTTTAGAGAAAAAATGTATACTGTCTGTTTTATTAATTTGCCTGCTTTTTGTCTATACTTTACATTTACAGTAAAGGTTTTGTGTCGGAAGGGCTGCTGGACAGCCAGAAGAGATGAAATCAGAAATTAGGTCAAAAGAGAACAAGTCTGCACAGAACCGGCTATAAATTACATACAGAAATGCTGTTCAAATAGTTTGTCTACGTAAGAGAGGATGCCTTGTTGCGCCTTACCATCCAAGGCATACATCAAAAGAGGAGGACATAGACACAAGGTAGACCATAAACAAGATGAAAAGTTAACATCAGAGAAACTAAACACAATATTCCTGTGGTGGCCAGAAGAGCAAACAACAGAGCCTTATATCTCCCTCAACAGCTAAAGCGGTAAAAGAGGAAGAATAAAAAGAAGACAGAAAGTATGTCTGGATAACCACTGGGATCTACAGTTATAAGACTGAAGATGGTGATTCATTGGGCCTATCCCAAGGAGAAGCAGAGTCTCACCAAACAAATTCTGATATGGGAGTCTACTGGATCGAGGAAATTGGGATGTCTAAGCGAAACCCTACAACAAATGTTGATGAGAGGCCAGAGGTATCAGGCTGCATTTGATTCATATCAAAAATATTGCACAGACTGGAATAGAAGAAATCACTGCTAGCCCTGAATTATGTATAAACGGCATAACATGATGATGATAAAGGCAGATTGCGTTTCTTAAAAACTAAATCCTTTTTTAACTGCCAGATTGTGTTTATTGAAAACTAAATCTTTTTAACTGGTAGATTGTGTTTCTTAAAAACTAAACCTTATTTTTTTAACTGGCGGATTGTGTTTATTGAAAACTAAATCTTCTTTTTTAACTGGTAGATTGTGTTTCTTAAAAACTAAATCTTTTTAACTGGTAGATTGTGTTTCTTAAAAACTAAATCTTTTTAACTGGTAGATTGTGTTTCTTAAAAACTAAATCTTTTTAACTGGCAGATTGTGTTTATTGAAAACTAAATATTTTTTCCCAACATGGCAGTCTATATTATTAGATAATGTACCTGGGTAGGCTAACCTGGGCAACAAATTCCTGCAAAAGTCAAATGTGTCTGTGAAAATGCATAAATGTCACAGCCATGTTGTAAATGGGCACAACACATTTACATCTTTAAATGAACCCAGAAGAAGATAATGTTCAGTGCTTGTTTTATTTCTCATCCAGCTTTGCTCTCATCATTGTGGGCTCGGAGCAGTCGTCACGCCTCATCTTTGACCGCTTGCCCAGGAAAGAGTTGCATGGGCAGATTCCTCAGGTCAGCCACTTCACAAAGCAAGCACTTAACCAGTTTGAGGCTCAGGCTCGTAAAACTGGCGGAGGTGGTGGTGGAGGAGGACCAGAGCCTTCAGATCGTAGAGACGACAGGCTTCCGCCAGGCAGAGATAATCCTCCAAACGGAAACTTCATTAATGGTAGTTATATTTCAGTAAGATTGCCATATAGCCATAGTATCTTTTGTGTTGATGCTACTTTCATCGAATGCTTATTTGATGAGTTGTCGGTTTGACCACTATCACAGAACTGGGTAGACAGTATTGTGGCTACTAGTTTGATGTTTCACCAGCTCGTTTGACAGCTGCTTGTCAGTCTTGATGTAATGATTCAGTTGATGAATATTAACCATAAAGACACAGAATCAGGCTTGATGTAAGGATACAGTTGATGAATATTAACCAGGGAGACTTAGAATTAAGCGTGATATAATGATTCACTTGATGAATATTAACCATAAAGACACAGAATCAAGCTTGATATAATGATTCAGTTGATGAATATTAACCAGGGACACAGAATCAAGCTTGATTCACTTAATGAATATTAACCAGGGAGACAGAATTAAGCTTTATATAATGATTCAGTTGATGAATATAACCAGGGACACAGAATCAAGCTTGATTCACTTAATGAATATTAACCAGGGAGACAGAATCAAGCTTGAGTTTGATAATCAAGTTTAATAATTATATTACCACAGCTTTCAGTGTATAAGACGATACATTTTCCAAAATGTTTTAAAATTTACATTTGGGGTCCTCTTATATGAAATGTGTTTAAAATAATTATTTCCTAATTTTGGGCTAAAATAAATAAGGAAGATCTTATACGTGGGAGGCATCTTACGGCAGAAAAACATAATCGGATACAGGCAGTCGTTCTGCTTGTATTCTTCTTCACATTTACCAGCTGTAAACTCTGGCAGAAAATTATGGTTGTTTGTCCACTTCTGAACTCTAAACCTGTTCCAGAATCTGAGTGTTGCATGTCTATCCGTTTTAAGATCTGACTCATTTGTATGCTGACTTGGTTTCTTGCCGTCAGGCAGATGCACTCTGACTTAGAAGGAAGTGCACAGTTATTCAATTCTTACACTACGCTTTGGGTAGGCAGTGGGTCTATTCTTGTTGTTTCCCCAGAGTGGGACCCTGGAAACCACACACAGGACCCACATGTATTGAAATTTGCGAAAGCAAGTGGAGACGACAGCAGTGACATAATGCTGTTTCTTCAGACCGTGATTGTCTGTTCCTCTACACTGTTTACTCGCTCAAAGAGCGTCAATAACTTCCAGGTTGTCATGCATCATTTTACCACCTGATAGTCCAGATTCCAACAGTCTTTGAGAGGAGTTGCACCGTAACTGACTCACAGAGCATGTTAAGAAAGATCCAGATGGGCATGCTTCATGCAGAGTGGCAAGTATGCTTCACTGCAGAGTCCCAGGTAGTAAGCGTGTTTGTTTATATTTTCTCCCAGGTGTGCAGGAGTGTTGGGAAATGAACAGGCAGACAGATTGGTTGGTTCTGCACCAATGGGGTGTGAATTTGTGCATGATGAGCTAAATATGGTTAAGGCCCTTTGTTAGCAAGTGAACAACGCGGAGGCACATATAGATCATTATGGGCAGCTTGCTAGGAGTAATCAGGGGACTTGTTGACATTCTACACTCAGAGGAAAGGAAAGGTGAACATATAGTCAGACTGCTAATGGCACCGTAGCTTGCTGCTGAAGATAAGGAGGGAGTGCTTTTAGGAATGTCCTGAGTGCTTTGATGTCATTTCTTAGCACAACACTCAGCACAGCCAATCTGTCCGCATGTTCATTTCTCACTTGCATGCCCTGGGGAGAATATCCTCCAGAGGTCTGTAACGACCTGGGATCTCTGAAGCGATGCTTGCCACTCTGAAGGATAAACATTTCACTGCCGGTAAATGATAAAGTGGGTTACAAAATCTGAAAGATATGATCCTTTTTTTCTACACAGACAAACGAGGACTTCCTCCACCAGTTACATCGCCAGTAAGTCAGGGATTCCCACCACCGCGTCTGAGTGGACCCCCACTTACTAGACCTGGGGTCCCACCAATACCTGGGCCACCTCCTCGAGTGACCGGTCCAGTGAACTTTGCTCGTAAGTGGTTGGTTGATCATGTCAATGCTTTATTGACTATCTTCAGAACTTCATAAAATTTTTATTGAATTAGTGCTCATCCTTTCATTATCATGTCTGCCAGATTGTCTTTTCCTGGAGGAGCTGTGAAGCAGCATGTGGCCACACTTAGTAAACCTGGCTACTAAGCTCTGGGGGAACTTCAGAGACCCTGAATGGCATCACACTTAATGGCCCATAGTGGATTAAGCACGTGTCCAGAGATCACTGAAGAAGAAGATGCCATTGCCATTTTTTTAAATGTAGCCTGCGCCACCTGAAGTGATGATGTAAATAGCGTGTGACTTCAGTCGAGCTGATCGCAAGAAAGGCTAAATATAACATGAAATATGACTATAAATCTTAACAGAGGGAGTGGCACATCCTTTGATAAAGACTTTGCTCGAAACTTTCCATTGTGATTGTTTGCGTCTTTTCCATTCACTTTGTTGAGCTTTCTAGTCACATTTTGCATTATATTTTGAAGTTCTGTGCCATCTAGTGTTCTTGTCCTGTCTGCCCATGAACTTCTGCTCTACATTGCTAATTATGTGTGATATAGACATTCTTCCATGCCATGATGCTCAACTGTCCAACATCCTTGGTCTCCTCGTGCCTCTCAGTTTGTAACCCTTTGAAAATAAAGTTTGTTTGTTCGTTCGTTCTTTTCTCTCCCTACTTATCTTATTTCGTGGCATATTCCAGTTTTCTTCTTCTTAGGACATGTTCAGGGTTTTCACACTTAGACAGCTGTTTTTTTATATTAACTGCAGCTGCTGGGCAACAGATTGCAGCAGTAGAGACTATTGAAACCAGGCATTGCTGGATCACTGGCATGCCAAGTAGTAGGATCTAGGGAATCCTTGGTTGAGGGGTCAGGTTGACTCTTTCCATTGGATCATTTCTCATTCTCTGACTACAGCACCAACCCAAACTCAGAGCTTGGCAGCTGTAATATTTAATCCAGCATATCGCTAACTTTAGATAGTCAGCATAATGGTAGCCAGAAGGCAACATAAAACATTAATATGCTGCAATTGATAATGATGATGTTAAGTTTCCTGTCTTCTAATTTCACTGAATAGTCAGTAATAATTACTATCTTCCCAGCATGCTCAGACTAGGAGCAGGCTACTCTGCATGCACATTTTTGTAAAATAGAATGGCTGTTTGCTTGGTTGCATTCCATACAGTTAACATCAACACGTGCATGTCTGCCACTTGATACATAAGACCTATAACTTAAACTCTCACAAAAAGCAGTTAAGTGAACTTGATCTCCAGCTAACTGACTGCAGTTCTTCTTCTCTAGTCCAGTTCTGCGTCTCAGCATCAGGTTTTGAAGAGGCATCAGGTGAGAGCCCTAGTGTTTACTGTGTAGATGTGGGTCTTTGCAGATTCAGCTATTCCGTCTATCCATTGCTTGCATGGTCGACCTCTAGGTCTGCTTTAGTTATATCTTAAGTGATGGGGCTCTCTGTGATGCACAGTCTGGTGGTAGTCTTGACTCATGTCCAAGCCATTTGGCCTGTTGTCATATCATAAAGAGGAAACTACCATTTGCTCGGTTGACCTGCAGATCAGTTCTGCTGTGTCCTTCCTGGACAAGAGTTAAGCTCACAGTACTTAATCACTGGCTGGTTTCAGTCCAGCCTTGCTCTCAACCTTCAAATGCACCTGTCTGCTGTAACCAGAAAATCAGCAAGCTTATATCACAGGCAAGACCACACCCATCTGCTAATAATAATTACGAGAGCAGCCTGGATTTCTACTCCAATATTGTCTACTAGACCTTTGCTTACTTACTGAAGCTCTATTCCTTCCGCACCCATTTTTGAAGATAGCCAAGGGTTATCGGTTTGAAAGGATTCATCAACCAATTTAGCTGATAACTGGTACTGAAAGAGTTTAAGCAGTATTTTGGTTTATAATCAGCTTTACCACGGCTCAAGCCTTTAAATTTTGTTTGTTTGCATTCTTATGTACGAAACTTGTTGAGTCTTGATTTCTGTTTTCATGTGTTCCAGAGTTAGTGAGAGCATGTACTGACTACTTAACTGCAGCACCTCCGGGCACATTAGCTCCTGTACAAGGCCCCCCGCCTGGAATACCACCATTACCTCCTCGACCAGGCCAGGTTGGTCCTCCAGGTAATAGGGGCCCTTCGCCACGTCTGGAGGTAACTAGCTTTTAACGTTTTCTGTATACCATACCACTCTATGAGCTTCAGAATGTTTTCACGTTTGTCTTGTAGTTAATCGCTATTAAGGTATCTTATTGAGAACAGAACGGCAGTGCAGTAATATTCTTTGAGAGGAAAAAAGGCCATCCAAGTCTGTTAAGAGTAAAAAAAATTAGGCCAGTGCTGATAATCCCTTACATGGCCAGCATGGGTGTGTCATCATTTGATACCTCAGGACATGGCAAACTTAACAAATACTTTGAGTTCATCATTGTGCCCGTGTGGGCTGTGCTTACACATCTAAGAACATATCCTGCAAGACTGCCCCTTGTAATGTATAGCCATTAGGAAGAGAATATTGGCCCAGTGAGTCAACACCATGCTCAAAGTTGAATGGAACTAAAGAGGAAATTGAGAAAAAAAAACAAAAAAACCAACTCAGTTTTGTCAAAAAAACTTGTCTCTTGGTGTAAAATCATGGAAGTGATCACACACACAAAAGAAAATATCTATACATTGTTTTCTTCTGACAGATAACTGTTTGTATGGTGAGTAAACGTGAAGTTGTTCTTAGTCCTGTCTGCATGTTACTAGGGCCCCGACGAAAAGCAAATAATTGTTACATTGCACCTGACCAAGAATGTTGGATCAAGCAGGTCATAGGGATAGCTGCCCAATTCTGTGATAAGCATGACGAAAGCCAACCATGAACAGGTCTGAAAGGAAACAGCCAGCTAAAAATGAGAGCAGTAGAGTAGAAGGGAGGTTCTTCTTCCAGAACTAAAAAAAAAGACATTAAAAGCGAATGAATAAACAAACCTTGTTTTATTTAAAATCATAAAACAGTTTTCAACTAAATAATTTTTCTCTCTTTTTACTACATGATATATGTTGTGACTGTAATTAGGGAAAGTTATTCTCATTTTTGCTTTGCTGGTCCACGACTTGGTAGCTTGTTGTGAAAAAGGTAACTAATGAAGGATTTGCTGAAACTGAATGTGTTGGGCCGAAAGACAGATGTCGCAGACCTGCTGTAAATCACAACACAGAGTGCCAACTGGCCTTTCAAGAGCAAATGTAGAAAAAGAAGAGTAGCAGCTTAGTAGAGGATGATTTATTTTTCTTACAATTTATGAAGTACCATGAAAAGTGGTGTCAGGGATTTAACTAGTAAATTGATGATAGCTGGTGTATTACTACCAATAAGCTGTTTGATCTGCTCAGTCACTAAAAGTATCATCATCTTCTGCCTTTCTAACCCCCAGTGGAGTGTAGACCCTTAGTGAACTCACGCCAAGTCGTTCTATCCATTGCTATCGTATGCAGCTGTCCCCATATCCTCCCAATCTTTTTAACTTTACTCTCTAGCTCCCTTCTCCGTTTGTTTTTTTGTCTTCTTTTTTTTTTCAGTGCCTATACTTCTACTAGAAGAGCCTCCTCTTATCTTGGTTAGCTGGGTTTTTCTTGTTTCTCTTTTTGATTTTTCCACGGTTGGTTGGTTTTTGTGGCTATTGTTTTTGCAGGAGCAGGTAGCCAACCCCAAGCCCAACCCTACCCTTAGTTGCCTCCTACGACTTACCTGGTAGGGTACAGTATCACTATTCTTTGCTTCCCGTGAGGGTGCCCGGTGACACACTGGCGAAAGCATCATCATACTAACACCTGATATGCCATATTGGCATTGGAAGAAATAACTAAAGACAACGCAAAATATGACTAGAAAGCATCAACAGAGGGAAAGGGGAAGACTTGCACAAATACAAGCAAACTGTTTTAACAGGAGTCTTTATCAACTGACAAAACAACATACTACACAGCTATTTAAGCGTAGAGCTGGAAAAACAAAATAGGAGAAATTATGGCTCAAGCGCTCTTGTGATGATATCCCCCCCCCCCCCCCCCCAACCTCAGCCATCCAGCATTATCTCTCTTGGTCTGCCTCTACCTCTTTTTCCACTGATCTTTCCAGTTGCCACAATGTTCTCTAATGTCTATCTTCTCATTACATGGCCAAAGAACAGTGTTTGTTTTCTTCTTAAAATTATGGTCAGGATAACTTTTAGGAATAATTTGGACCAAATAAGCTTTTCTTTTGTGTTTAATTATTTATTGTTACCAACTCAACCACAGTCACTTGTGTTTACATATGAGCCTATATACAGAGCTGTTTTACTTCCATACCATGGTTTACTAGTTAATTATTTTTATGTGTGTCTATAAAGGGTCATCAGAATTGATTACCAGTATTTTAAACTGTTATTATAAGGGAAGTTTTTAATAGATATAAACCTGTGACGTTTACAAATGTTCAGATAAGTTTAAAGTTGTAGACTCTCCCTAGTACACTTTGATATGGATACCATCTGTAGCTCTGGCAATGTCTGGACAATGTTCTTCTTCTTCGCTTTCACTGGCTGTTGACTGACGAAAAATTCTGGTTGTTCGCCTACTTCTGGACTTTTTGTCTTGTTCCAGAACCTGAGTGCTGTGTCCAGATCCGTTTTACAGATCTATCTTATTTGTATGCAGACTGTTGGTTCCTTGCCTCTCAGGCAGATGCACTTTAACTTTGAAGGATTCATCCAATTAATTGAATCCTACAAAATGCTTGTTGGTGAAGCAGTGTGTCTATTCTTGTTTCCCCCCTCAATGGGGCCCCAGCACCCACACGGGGAATACAGTATACAATCTTCTACACATCTTCTGAATCTGTTCAGTTACTATTACAGTTACTGTCGCCACCGGTTCGTTAAGGTGGTGGATTTTGCTTATCTTCTCAGTGCTGTATTTAGCTCCACTTATCTTCTCAGCGCTGTATTAAGCTCCACGGCCACACAAGGTCAGGCAAAACTTTTCTTAAAATTTTAAGAAACCACAGTTGTATTTCCATTTAATACTTCTTTTATAATAGCAGTCCAAAATCCTGTCAGTTATTCTCCATGACACTATTTTTTAAATACATTTTCACTTGAGATCATTTTCTGTCTAGCCACCTCGGTTAGGTGCCCCACCACCTCATACTCATATTAGAGGCCCACTTCCGATAGATACCAGAGCTCCACCACCATTGAGACCGGAGTGGGAGCAGCGCCCACCTAACTCTAGTGAGTTGATTTTAAATTACATTTCAGTGTTGTGTCAAGGAACTGTTTGCATGCACAAGATTTTTTGTTTATATAAGTGTCTGTGTTACCAGAGTCACATACGAGGTGGAACTTGTTCATGTCCCTGTTTTTTTTATAGTAATTATATGAACAGTGAAGACACAAACAATAGATTGCATAGTTTACTGTCTAGCATATTTCACTGTAGGGTAATTCGTTTAATTAAAAGAGTAATTCTGTGGTGAGTGATCTTTCCTTGAGTTGCCACCACAGTGCCTTCTTCTGCCCTTCACCACCTAGATTTTGAGTGTTGAGCTAAAAATTGGCATTACAGCACTCAGGACATTCCTCATGTTCAGCAACCAGCACAAAGTTCCAATTCTGGTGGTGCCAGTAGCTCACCACCTATTGGAGCATTACCTACCAGCAGAAACCAATGCCAGGCTGTCCTAACCTTCACTGCCTCATGTGACACAGCCCATTTGCTCTCCATTTTATTCATTTCTGTCTAAAAAATATTTTCTTACGGCTTTTCTGGGTCTCCTGTGTCTTGTTATTTCCAGTAAAAGGACATTCTAATTGTATTGTTATCAGGATTTCTCACTGTATTTCATAGATCACCTCTTCCTTCTCACACTTAAATCACAGATACACTGCTGAAAAGTAATGATCTTAAAATATAGAGATAAAAAAACAATAAACAAAAATTGTTTAACGTCAGGGTGGTCTTGTTCAGTTGTTCAGATCGGCAGGTAGCTGAAAGTTTTTAAAATCATCAAGATCATACAACAGAGCTATAGGGAGTGCTGTAGTGAAAGTGAGAGGCTAGGTAATATAAACTTTATTGGGAGTATCTGTGGCAGAGTGGTCAAGTCATTTGCCTTGGGCTCTGAAGGTCATTGGTTTGTTTCACAGACACAGCATTCAGTTCACAAGTTCTTTTAACAGAGATCCATGGGGATCGTTACTGGAGCTACAGAGCTCTTACATTGTGTGACACTATGCAGGTGGCTAGCCATTCTGCAGAGAGAGGCCGAGCTATATAGGATCGAACCTAGGGCAGTGAAGTCGGTTCTCTCTGTTTTAAACTGAATTGGTTCATTTGAGCTGGTAAATTACGGATCAAACATGTCTTTATGAAGATTGATTGTAAATTCATGTCTTGCTTAAGGTTTAACAGTAATGATGGGTAATTTGTTACTGCCTTTTACTGTTCTTGTTTAATTTTTGGTGTGAGTGTGACATGGGTTTTAAAAATATATTATGTTGTTGCAAGTGTTTGATTTGGCACTGGGTGGTTGTTTTTTCCCAATATTGTTTGTTGATTGTTCACCAGCCGTAAACCCCAGCGGAAAGACCTGGTTTTTCCTCCATTTCTGGACTTTGGCTTTGTATCAAGATCTGAGTTTTGCATGTGCATTCGTTTTACATGTCTTGCTTATTTGTGTGCAGACTGTTGGTTCCTTGCCTCTCAGGCAGATGCACTGTGAGGGAAGCCCGATATTAGTCGACTCTTACGACATGCTTGTTGGGGTCTGTTCTTGTTTTCCCCACAGTGAGACCCCAGAACCCCACACTAAAGAGTTTTTTGTAATGATATTTGATTGCTGACTGGGAACAAGTATTTGTATGCATGTTTGAACTTAAGGTTTGCAGGTGACATTGACGTGTTGGCTGGGGAAGAACAAGAACTAGTGGAACATATAAACCTGCTTGGTGAAACATCAACCAAGTATGGCATGGAAATAAACATGGGAAAGACTAAAGTAATGACTAATAATTTAGTTGGCATAACCACACCAATGTAGGTCAGAGGTCACAAATTAGAATAGGTCAGTCATTTTAAATATTTAGGATCCGTTTGAAGTGACCAAGGGTCAAGACCAGGATTGCCCAGACAGCATCAGCCCATGCCAAACAGCATGGAGATTAAAAAAAAAGATTTCATCAAAAACTAAACTTAAACTGCTAAGAGCACTAGCTTTTAATACGTTGACATATGGCTGTGAAAGGTGGACCTTAATAGCTGAACTCTAAAAGTAGATACAAGCATTGGAAGTGCGATCATTCAGTGAAAATTCTTGGCATGATATACAGAGATCACATCACAAATCACAAGATTCGACGTATAATTACCCCTATAGAGGGGAAGAGGATAAATTGCAGACCAAGGAAAACCTGGATACAGAACTTGACTGTCTTGACAGGCCTTAGGCAGGCAACCATGAAGTTCATCGCATCTGACCATCAGAGGTGGCGGAATACAATCAGTCAGTCAACAGCAGTTGGTGACCCAACAACACACAGTGTTATGGGATGGTGACAATGATTCCATGTGTAGTGATGCAGAATAATTTGAAGAACTGTTCATTAATGAGCATATGCTATTAGTAGAACGATGAATGTGTCACTACATTTTCTTAGTTGTTTGGCTTGTAAATAATTTTTATAAATAATAGTATAGTACTACATTTGTCCATGTTAAAGATGCATTTTTTGTTCTCAGAGTAGGCCTTAAAATTTGACTGCATCTTGTACAATGAAGGTTATGCTATCATTATTTGTCATAGTGGCTTGCACTCTAGTTTTTCACATCCAGTATCTTGGGATGCTTTATGCTCAAGGGATAACAATATGGGCTGTGAAAAAGACAGAGAGGAGAATAGTATCACATAGAAATGTATGGCTGTGGATCATAATTCTTTGTAGGTGGTAGAGTCTCATCACTCCAGAGCGGTGTGTCACCGTGGCGAAGTGGTAAAGCCTTTTGCATTGAGCTCTGAGGGTCGGGGGGAAGGTGAGAGAAAGGTGAAGACAGGGATGCTTCGAGCAGGGCAGCAAGCTTCACTGAGAAGGTAACTGGTAGTGAGCATACTTTGGATCTTTCCTCCAGGCTATGCCGGCGTAATGGTTAATGAACAGGCAGACAGATTGGCTGAATCTGCACCTCTGGGTGGGGAATTGATACATGACAAGGCAGATGTGGTCAAGGCCCTTTAGGAACAAGCAACGAAATCAGTAGAGAAACAAGATTATTATGGCCTGGAGAGAATGAGGCACCTGGGTGTAACCAGAGGGTCTGGCTGGCTTACTACACTCAGAGGAAAGGCAAGACAGACATATAACCTGATTGTGATTGGTACCATAAGTATTGGAACTCTGCGCTGGCTGCTGAAGATGAGGATGGAGCACACATGGGAATGCTGTGATGTCAGTTTAGTACTCGACTAGTCACAATTTACAGTTTTCACTTTTTAAAAATTATGCCTTGCAGGGCCTGGGTTGTAATATTCATCTGTAGTTTTCACAAAACCGAAGGAAAACATTGAGTTGTACATCTCTGTTTTTCTGTTTTCATGTTTACAGTGAGGCCCCCCATGCCAGGAGGGCTCCCACTGGCCCAGGATTTTCCCCGTGGCCCACACCCTGGACCGATAGGTTTGTTATTCTCATATGTATAGTATATCTTTTAAAACTGGGGCCACCTGAATAAGTACATTAGAGTTAGAGTTGTCTGCTAGTTAGTGTGTAGAGAATGGAGGATGGTAGAGCCCCTAAGGACATACTCTGTGGTGAATTACAGATAGGTAGCAGATGTCAATGCTGCCCTCTACTATGATATAAAGGTGTGTGCAAGTGGCTCATGAATGGTAAGGGTATTGAGGTGGATCCATGGGATCTCAAGGTTGTGGACCATGTTTGTGTTAAGGGGGCACATCAGGAAGGGAATGAGAATGAAAGAAGAAGTGATGACCGTTGAGAAGAAACTCACTGAGTACAAATGGTGGCAACAGTGGTCCTGAAATCTGGTGCTATAATTGCGGTAGACTTTTCCTTGTGTAGGCAGATCTTGTTTCTTCATAGCACAATATAACACTCTTGTTTAGAAAAATAGAATGATGCCAACAATAACATAGTATGTATGGCAGCGGTTCTCAACCAATTTGTCACTACAACACAGGGAACTGTATTAAAGGGTCGTGGTGTTAGGAAGGTTGAGAACCACTAATGTATGGAGTCCAACTGGAACTCTGCAGATGTGGATAAACAGAAGAATAGAACGTAGTTCATACATAGAAAAACAATAAATTATAGTTCTGGAGAGACTAACATTGGACAAAGTTGTTAAAATAATTTTGTTTTTTTTTAATTTGATCGTATCAAAAGACTTAATGTTTTATAAAAGTGTTACTGTTAGGAACAGTTAAAGCTGAGCAAGCACAATGTATACAGTGATATAATGGGAGAATAACATCAAGAAATGAACAGACATCAGGCTCAGATGCTGTAGAACCAAGGCAAGATACGGGTTTGGAAATCTGTTTCAGCTAATCTTCATTGCAGAGATACATATTACCCTATTGATTGATCGATTGCTTGATAATATGTTTTGTCAAGTTTCAACAGAGTAGATTTACTAGCAGCAAAAGTGCCAGTTGTAGGAACAGTCAATAAGCAGTTTTGTATTATCAGTCGCCATACACTTAGGGAGATTCTGAAAATGTTATTGGAGTGTTTATGGACTTGTCTGTATTGTGATGAGAATGATCGACTGGGTAACTAAGGCAGCATTTAACAACATGAATATTCTGTGCAGTTTTCTTTGTCAGTTGAGACGAGAAAGAGAATTTTTAAGAGCTATATCATTCCTATCCTGATGAACAGAAGTGAATCATGGACTTTGGGCGATTAGTATTTAGAAGCGGTGGAGATGTGGTTTGATGACAAATTATGAGAATACTCTGAACAGATAAAAAGAGTAATGAAGATGCCATGAAAGAAACTCACAAAGAGAACTTATTGTCCGTATCAGAAAATCTACATTTTTAGTCATGTCAGGACAAGTAGTATACTGGAATACACAGTGAAAGTGGGAAAGTTGGAGAGGTAAAAGGCAGAGGGATAACAAGAGGGAAGATGTTGGACAGTTGTGACGTCATGGGAGGAAAAATCAACTGTGTCAGAATTTATTTAAAGTACACAAGACAGAAGGTGAAGATAGACGTGACTATCAACCCCCACAATCATGGTCTATAAAAAGAAGAATAACAAACTAGCTAATAAGAAATGAGGTGGATACTCTGAAGAAAAATTGATAGATAAAGCAGCAAATTTAACTCATTCCTACCAGGCAGTTATTTTAACACATACTTTTACAGAAAGCTTTTTATGTAGAGTAATACATGTTAGCTAGGAGCGGCTGTCCAAGTTATTGACTGTGAACTGTCATTCTGTAGACACAGATTTCATCCACAGTGAGGGATAGAGATTTTTTTTTTCTGTTAGGGGAAAAATAAAAAATCATAATCTGCACAGCTCATGGCAACCACACTAGCAATGAGACTTCAGCTCCTCGGAGTCACGATCATATGTATGTCAGCTGTGTATGCTCTCCATATAAACTCTTGTTATGACAAAACGTATTAGAGCTGCCAAAGTGTTGGGCTCACCTTGTAGTCTAGTGATAGGATTTTAAAACAAAAATAGCAACAGCCCTGAAAAAGTGACTTCCCTTACCAATCAAGTATCGTCTGGTCGCAGGAACTTTAATATGTTGTGGGGGTGTCATATTTTCTTTTTTGTCAAAGCTTTAACCGTTCCATCTTTTCTTGTCTTCTCACCGCTTGCTTGCGTGATTGTTTTCATGTTCTACTATCTGCACAACGGTTCGTGGCTATGGAAACCAGCAATATTTTTTCTTTTCCTACGTTCCTTGTAAATGCTTTCTTTCTCCTGGGGGAAGCCACCGCCAACAAACTTAGAAGTACAAAGACATCCCAGTTTCGATACAAAAGAATCTTAAGCGCTTTCCTTTACAGTACTTCTTACTTGTACACAGGCACTTGTTATATATGGTGAGCGAATGCCAAACCAAGCCATATCATAGCATCCCCACAGCACAGGAGAGGTCCTGCAACCAGACGAGTCATAAATGGCGAGGAATTCACTCTCTTTCTGGAGCAAAAAACTTCAAATGAAATTTTTTTCAGCATACATACTGGAGATTTTTTACAAAAATGTATATATTTGTGGAAGATGTATTGCGAATGGTTGCATACAGATTTATAAAAATCTGCCTTATGTACATATAATGAATATACCATCTATCCTTTAAACAGTTTCCCATATATGTGAGTGAATCTGTGTGCCTGCAAATTTTTCTTTTTTGAACTTGCTCATACTTGCTTGTGGATGGAGGGTAGTTTTACTCTTGTTGTTTCTTTATAATTTATTATACTTTCTGTAGTGACAATGCTTTTCTGTGAAGGTTAGGAATTTATTCTGGTAGTTACGGGTTAATTTTTTTTATTGGATATGGTTTGGTGCGAGTCTTGTATGGTCACACACAAAAAGGAATATTCCTTGTTTGGAATCTGTGTACTCATTCAGGTGGAAAAAGAAGAGACTCACTTCCCTTAACAAACATGCCCTAAAAGGCTTTGCTGAAAATGGATGTGTTGGGCTAAAAGGTGCAGATATCTCAACCTAATATGTAAACAAAGTTTACGAGTCAACCCTTTAAGGGTGAACACATAAGAGGGAGAGCTGCCACGGTGTAGGGGTCCAGACGCTCGCTTGCAGATCCAAAGGTTGTGGGTTCGAATCGGCATGGATATTTGTTTTCAAACATCATCTTGGCCCTGGTATCGATCTGCCTTAAATGGGTACCAGGTAAAGTCATGGGGAGTAAAGGCGGCCGGCATGATGTTGACCACATCACCCACCAAGGGCTGATTGGTATATAAAAATATTAATCTTTTCCAATGCGCTGCTGCGTGTAAAGGGACCTTACTTAAAAAAAAAAAAAAAAAAAAAAAAAGAGAAAAGATACATATTTCTTTTTTACTTAATATACCATTACAGTGTGTAATATCTACCCCGTTTGTCTGTCATTTAAAACTCGATGTGAAATTGTTTATATTGGTTTACTTTAACTTAAGACTTTTAATGTCGCACATTTTTATTAATTTTTTTTCCTTCTACTGTCAGCTTCATTTATTGCCATAGATGTCTAAGCTGTAAGAGTTAGCTTGAGTCTGATGTTGAAAACTTGTCTGTTCTTAAGTCATTCTATTTAAGTTAATTTTTCATTTAGGTTTTGTTCACACTATACACTATTAAGTTCTCCAATCATCTAACCAAGGACTTTTCAGCTTGTGGCCAGTCTGGCCCTCGAAGGCCTAGCAAGTGGTCCATGGGTTATAGCCAGTATTATTATTTTAATGCTGGCACGCGATGATTCCTGTTTTTTAAATTTTGGCCTCAAGTAAGCTTGCATAAATGAGAAAGAGATTTCTTAAAAGCTATATGAATCCTGACCTATATAAATCCTGTCTTGATATATGGAAGTGAATCACTGACGGTTGGTAGATTTAGTGAAATATTATTTGGAAGCTGCGATGTGGTTTTGTAGACGAATGATGAGAATACCCTGGACAGATAAAAAGAGTAATGCAGACGTCTTGAAACAAACTGACTCACAAAGAGAACTAATATGCCTGTATTAGAAAGAGACAATCTACATTCTTTGGTCATGTGATGAAAAGGATAAAACTGGAGTACATCGTGACAGTAGGAAAATTGGAGGGGAGTTGAGGCAGAGGGAGACCAAGAGAAAAAAATACGCTGGAGGAACATCTGTGTCAGTGTTGATTGAAAGTACACAAGACAGAAGGTTGTGGATAGAGGTAACTACCAATGCCATGCACTATGGGAGATCATCTGTGTGAGATCATAAGTGTCAGCGTTGATTGAAAATACATGAGACAGAAGGTTGTGGATAGACACGGCTACCAACATCACATGGCATGGACTTTAAGAAGAAGAAGCTTAGATGAATAGCCCTGTTCTGGCTTTTAATTGTATCAGCGCCTGTTGATAACACGGTCACATCTCAGAAGGCAAGCAACACTAATTCGTAACACTCCAGTGATATCTCTCTTGTGTTGAGTGTAGAAAATGCAGATACTGATCGTTTCTTTTCACCAGGGAAATTGTTTCCCCCTTTTTTTTCCAGTATGTAAAAACCATGTACTTAAAGCTCAGGTGGCTTTATCACAGTTGAGATTTTGGTTGATTGACACCTTTTTAGCAGAGTGAGGATGTACACAGGAAGGTGAAGAAGAAGGTGTTCGTTTTGAATAGCACTTGCAGCTGAGTGTTCAGCACCACTGCAACCTGTTTCTGTGTGACACTAAGAGAAATAAGAATAAGAAAATAGTAGAGCATTTGAATAACGGATAGAAAATAAACAAGCAGAAAGGAATTTTCATCAATCAGTAAGATTTGTTATTTTGTGGATTAGCACCACTGCACAAGCTGTTTCTATGTGACACTAAGAGAAATGAAAAAAAAAAGTAAAAAAAGTGAAGGTCCCTTTTCCACGTATAGGGCATATAGGGCTAGACCTATATTTTGTATAGACCAATCGGCACAAGATGGGTGATGTGGTCAGCATTAC